CCCCCCCCGGCAGGTTCGCAGAACCGTGAGAATAAATAATTAAACCCAGTGATTTAACATTAGAGCGATCGAATTAATAGTTAAGCGGACCGGATTAATAATCAAAATGGTTTTTGGTAACAAATCAGAGTTGAGGTTAGTCAAAACTCTTAATGCAGAAGCCGCTGCATGGGCCACTGGGGCCTGCACAGCCGCTGCAGCGCAGCCCCGCATGCCCAGGCCGCTCCTGTGCCTGAACCCTTCGCCAGGCTTTATAAGCCTTTATAAACACGGGGGACGATCTTTCCCAAGGCCAGGCAGAGCTTTCCCGTGAGGCCTGTGGAAAAAAAACAGAAATATTGCTGGAGTCAAGGCAACTTTGATGGGTGCTGGAAGCCTGTCGGAGCCCAGTCCCTGAGGCTGTGCAATGTTTGTGTCTTACTGGCTTTGGGCTCCCGAACGGAGGAATATTGACAATTTCCCTTGAGAGGAGCTTGAGAAGAGAGCTCCTGCAAGAGCTCCGTACATACACCGCGGGCACGGATTGCATCGAATTTGGCTCCCACGTTGCCCCATCCAGGCTTATACCCCCAAACACCCATTTGCTACTTCTGAGCAACTAGCAGTAACAGGCATGACACAACCCTCTTGTTACTTCAAGTGTTTCATAAGGAAGGTGCCCGCCCCCAGAATAATCATGGCCTGTGGCTGCAGAGGTGTGCCAGGGAGATCCAGGCCAAGCAGTTTTCGGTGTTCTGCAGTTCATCTGCTCCGCAGGGTGCTAACCCCCAGCAAACAGGCACAACAGGCCCCCAAAGGCAGGATTTTCTCAGTTATTTGGTGCAGAGAAGAAAGATGGCCTTCCCCAGCGCTCATCCACTAGACATGAGGAAGACGCAGGGTAAATCTCCCCCACTCCATCCCGCTTTTTGCAGGAGGGAGCTCTGGATGCAGACCCGGACGTAGCCCTGGACGCTGGACTTCAGCAACCCACCGTAGCGGCGCTGAGCAGCAATGCAGTGAGCTGGACATGTTCTTATGCCACTTCCCGTAGTAAAGTCTAAGCCTGCTGTTGGGTACAATTTTGTTGACCAGGCGTTTTGTAGGAGCTTGACGTTTCAAGTGTCAGGGTAGACTCACCAGCCTCGCTGGTTTTGGCTGTGGGCTATGGCACCTGCTGGGAATCTGCTGCTTTGGGTGAGGATCTCAGGTTTCCGGGCAAAATGCCATGCTGTGCAGGAGGACTGCCGTGCATGGCCTGTCAGTCTGACTTGGCAGCTCTGGAGGGGACAGCTGCTAATATGCTTGGGTTTCTGGTTTTTAAATGTTTTAGATGAAGTTGGTGTTTGAGCATAATACACCACAGTGTGGAGCTCCTTTGTTTAGCTGAGCAGTGCTTATGTCCTGTGAAATATTTTAATGCTGACTCTTTAGCAGAGTGGCTGGGCTTTCTGTTCTGTTACTGTAATCATTAGAAATAAACATTAAACATTGCAAAATGCAGGAAATTACACTTAGCATTTCATAATTGGCTCTGGAACTCTCCTGTTAATGTTTGATCTTTGCTTTTTTTGCGATGCTACTGGCCTGCTGAAACCATAACAAAACAACGCCAACCCAGTCCTGACAGGCTGTCGTGCTAATATTTGAGGTGCCCGGACGCAATGCTTGGTTAAAACACCTGAATCCCCACCTCTGCCCTGCATTCTGTAGCCAACAGGTCACACACAAATATTTTGCTATTGCTTCTCCGGTTTGTAATTTTTTTGCCTTGAACCTCTCTTAGGACTGTTCTCAGCAGAGGGCAGCCTTGTCAAACCCATGCGCATACCAGCGTGCACGTTGTGTTTTGTTTTCGTTGCTGCTGTTCTGTGACCTTCGAGGGTGATGTTCCATGGAAAGGCAGGAATTATCTGTCCTAAACACCCGTGACATGTGGGGCTGGCTGCTGACGGTGATGTGGCCATTCCCCAAGTAGGTTCAGGTTTTTGAGGGGTATTATTACTGTAGGAAAATAATGCAGTTGTTCTAGGAAGATTTAGTTTGAATTTTAGATTTTTTTTTTTTTGAAAAGGAAAGCCATTTCCAAAGATATCCTAGTCCTTCATGTAGGTGGCCTCCACTTTTTCTACAAATGGAAAGGTCTCGTACGCACAAGAGTTAGGTGCTGTGGCTGTATCGATAGTCACACATCCACATGAGCCATGCTTTTCACCCCTCAACATCCTCTTAAAGCTTCCAGGCAGAACTCTCACTGTTTCTTTGCTAGATCACATGTCTGAGCATAGTTATTTTATGGTATAGTAACATTTCTCATTAGGATTTTCACATTAAATCCCCATTTTGCAGCATTTTTTCAGACATCAGGACAAGTTTTTTCTCATTTTTCAGTCTTAGCTGTAGTTGTTGAACTGTTCTGCGTATTTGTTTTTAATGCATAGTAAAAATAGAGGGCAGGTGCTTATTAGGCCTAAATTGTCCTTTGAAATCAATGGATTTACAACAAATTATACCCAATCAGAATAAAAATATTTAACTGAATTAAAACCAACATGTCCATTAAACTAAGCCAAATAAAGGCAATATCCTTCATGAAATATTCAGCAGCAATTCTCTTAGTCAAATCATGCACTGCTTATCTTGGCAAAGAAACCTCTGAGATTCTCAGTAAAAGCAGTTTTCTTTCCTCTTTATCAGGATATGTTTTCATTTAACCTTATTCACAGAAATGATTTCTAAATCTGTTTTAAAAATGTACTGTCCTGCCACGGTAAAACTAACAAACGGGACCGGACAGAACAGTGAACGATGTCACCAGTTTTGCAGCAAAGGGGCTTGGTACCAGCTTTTCCTGACAGAAGTTACTAATAGATGTTCATGTTGACAAATGGTCATGTACTGAGAACTTCTGAAAAAACATAAAGGAAGACGCGGGGCGAGAGGCACACAAGGCTGTTGATTTTAATTAATGCATGTAATTTTGAGGGGTAATACTACCAGAATGGCAAAAGAGATCATGTGACTGGTGCATCCAGTGGTGCAGAACAGTCTTTCCAGACAGGCAGCAGTCATAAGACTCCTATCATAAGTGAATGAAAGAAGCTAAATCAGCTAAATCGGGCTTTCTTGACCTTGAACCAGACAGCTTCATAGTTCTGGGTTGGCAGCCTCCCGTTTCCTAACCAATGTCCACAGTCATGTCTGAGGGAAGCTCTTCTGTGGGATGCCAAAACACAAGCACAGACAGGTTTTGTAATTTTTCCGCTACTTTTGACAACACTGCATTTGGGGAAACAAAACAGAGCCTTCCCATAAGCAGAAGTTTTAATTTTGCCTTTGAAGCTTTTGATGAATTTTGATTTGATTTTTTGTGCGTGTTACATTGCACATTCCGATGCACCGACTAACAGCTTAAGCCAAAATGCAGTACTGCAATCTTAACTCACAAAACCTTTTGTCTCATCCACAGGGAAAGAAAACAGTGTCCTTGCCTTGCCTCTGATTTCATGCCAAGAGAAACTCCTGACTGCTGCTCGTCGGAGCCCCTCCTCGCCTCTCGTCCCTCGCCCTCCCGCGCTGGCGCTCTGTGTGGAGCGAGGTGAGTTTGCCAAGACCCGTCTTGTTCTCTGTGCCCGTGGCACAGGCTGGCTGACGGGCGAGCAAGCTCCCCATCATCTTGTGCGGGGTCTGCTCCCTGCCAAGCCGTGCCTACCCAAGCTGGGAGTGCCCCAAACTGGGCCCGAGCGGCTCCTCCCCTGACGTAGGCAAGGTTACACCTCTCTTCCCTACGCCTGTCAGCGAACAGCTGGACTTCTCTGGTTACATGTGTGCAACCATTTAAAAAAACATCCAGGCCGGCTTACTCAGCAGATTATAAGAGTGATTTACAAAATGCAGCTTTCTTCCAGATCAGCCCGTGCCGTTGTATTTATGTGACTGAAGGTTTCAGCTGATCCCTCCTTTTCTTGTGCAGCCAAGAGGTTTGCAGCAGCAGCAACAGCCACGGCCAGTACAATACTGTAAGTCACTGGGAACGTTTTTTTTCTCTCAGTTTGGAAGGGGTTGGTGTTCGGTGTATCAGATCCATAACACCAGTTTTCTAGCATAGAAAATGAAGAGTGTCTTCTGCTGGGGCTGTGACTGTGCGGTCCTGCAAGATGCAGCAGCAGTGTGGTGCCTGTTTTATAGCAGCAGCATGAATGAATGATGCAATCATGCAGGGGGGAAGCATCATCATTTTGCCAGGACAGGCAAGAGGGGATTGGAGAGTTGGGAGGTGTATGTCAACATCCCTCACATTCCCTCTACTCCTTTTCAATTACTTTTTAAAAGGTGCTTAAATAAATTCATTGTTAGGCACTGCTGTTAGTGTATAGCTGCAAATAATTAATCTCTTGACTTTCATACAGGTTTGTATTACTACCTTTAAAAACTGAACAGAAAACCAGGAAGCGTGAAGTAAGCTTAGTGACATTAGGGACTGAATCTTTCTATTCTCACACTGAAAACCACAGAAACTCACAATTATGGATGGATGGGTTGAACTTTTAAAGAGTAGTACTGCAGGGATATAAACAACAGTCACAATTGGCTTAAATATAACTAATCTGCTTAAATGTATCCCCTTTTCTCTAAAGCTTTCAAAACATATTATTAATACTGAGAATTAAAGGTCAGCATAGAAAAGCTGTATTACTATATTATTCCCATTTTACAGACATAGGACTAGAAACAATGAGGATTAAATGGTTTGTTTAAACAAATACTATGGAAACACTCCTGAGCAGGACCACTCCTGTAGCAGGAACAGGTCCTGAGAAAAGTTTCAAGAAGAATTTTCTCCAAATCCCTTACTCGAAGCAGCAGTTTCCCTTCAATGTAACAGAAACTATTTAATGTGGTTGCATTTCTGTTAATCTCCCAGCATGTTCAATGCAACGTTACTCTGCTGTGGGAATGTATCTCAGAGTGTATCTGTCTCAGCAAGGTGCTCACTCTCACCTTGTTCAATGGGAAAGTGAATCGGAATCACAAACACCAGAAACTGTTTGCAAACTAGGATATTCCCGAGTGATCTGTTTAAAAAGGTATTTTAGGTAATATTTCATTAAGATTCAGTTAATGTTCATTTTTTCACAGCAATAAATGTGAACATAATGCAAAGTAGCAGCGTGGCAGCACTACTGAAAGCTGAAATATGATAACAAGTCAAGTCTAGTCACAATGAGGATTTTGAGATCTCATCAAGATCTCATCAAAATATACCAGCCCCAGAACACCTGGAGTTCTGAGTACCATTTACTTGTTCCTTTTGCATTATATACAGCAGAGAGATACTGCAGATGCTTCAGTTTTTCACAGTGCAGCAAGTGCCCTTCTTTGAAGGGTCAGCAAACAGAAAAGATTTCAGTTATTTTCCTTTGACATGTGGTCTTACAAAATTCCTGTGCTTGCTTCTGTGACTCCACCCTCTCTGTTACGAAACAGAAGTATTTCTTGTGGAAATACCAGTTTTTTTTTTCCAAATGGTCTAATGAAGTACTTCATAGTCTGGAGGCAAGGAGATCTCATGGGAATTCCACTTTTTCTTTGTGATTTCCTTTTCCTCCATCTTTATCTCAAGTTTCACCTTGCCTCTCTCCCTCTGTCACTCTTTTGTTATGTCTTCTCTAGTCACTTCTTTGCCCATTTCTTCTCTTCCCCATTTTCTTCTTTTCAGCTTTTCCCCACAATATTTTATTATCAGACCTGTTGAAATGCTACTTAGATGCTTCTCTAGCATGCAAGTAATAAGATAGGAATAGATTACATATCTGAAATTCAATGGCAGAAAGATCAGAGATTTTCCACCCATGTTTTTTATATGGAGGCAGAACTCATTATTTGTGGGAATTTCTTTTTTCTTACCATCTCATTAAAACATTGATGCATTTAAGCAATCAGATGCCCTGTATTTCAGAATAATTAATCTCTGCCAACTGTAGAGGCCTATGCCACTCTGGAATAAAAAATTGCTGTTCCCTTACTACAGCTGTTAGAGATTTGTCTGTAGAAAGGTTTTATACAGCTTCAATTCTTTTTGTTCATGTTTCCAAGTGACACGTACCTGTGGACAAGCTACTGTGTCTGTCCTTCTTTCCTGTGTGCGCTTACCAGAGGTGAATTCTAGGCAGCTTCCTGGGCAACGACATGCCAGGATGGCCCACAAGAAAATTTGAAAACAAGGGAAGGAGCAGAACCCCTCCTGCTTGTATTTTCCTCCCTACTCCTGTTGCCCATTACTCAATCACTAATAGCCTTGCCTTAGGCTCTCATCTACATTTAAGGCTGGGAAAAAGTTTTTACAAGTTACTGAAATTGGATTGTTACCATTTGGAGTGGCATTTGCCAGCCTCTGGAGCTGATGGTGACCCCTGGAGCTCTGCCAAAAAGGGCAGAAGAACCTTATTTTGCTCCACGTGAACCTCCTTTAACTCCTAAAATTTGCTTTCCCCCCAGCAAGACTCCCTGCAATAGCTGAAGCTTCCTTCATCAGTTCTCCTCTTTGCTCCTGTATGAGCTTCCCTACTTTACAGTTCATGACAAGTTCTTCAATATGTGTGATGATACATTAGCCAAAATCAGGTCTGTGTTTTCGAGGACTCAGTGCCCAGCTATAGCAAAAAGTGGAAAGATTTTAGCAAGTCACAGGCCAAGGAAGATCAGGAACTACTGACATTTCTGCATTTCAAAATGCAACTCTTTCCTTCCAACTTGTCATTTTTAGGGACTATAAACCACAGCTTGAAACTCTTTTGAAAGAGTTATTGCATGGAACAAAGAGAGGACAGGGTTAATCCCAACCATGGCTCCACAACTGGTATCCGTAATTCTTCCTCTAACTTGTCTATTTGTCCATCAAAGTGCAAAGTCCACTACAGCGATAGTGTTGTCATTATAAGGAGCATCCAGAAGGGGAAGGAGTACGGGAAACGTGGATACCAGAGAGAAGGGAAAGTCTCTTCCTTCCTGCTCCCAATGGGTATTTCTAGCATTAACATTTTTCTCAGAGAGATTAAAATTTTGAAGACATGTATCCAGAAATATATTTCAGGTTCTCACTAAGAAATCACATCACGGTGTGGTGTCCCCACACTGTGACATTGCATCATAATGTGGTAATGTTGCAGTGCAGCCTCAGGTTAGCATGAGGCAATGTGATGGCTTTGCATAATAAGGAATCAGTGTCGGAACACCGTGACGCAAATGTCAAGCCACAATGATGCAACAAGTTTGTCCAATAAAGCAAATCTTTAAAATTGGCACCAAACCCATGGCTGAATTTTTGGTGGACTTTATAATTTCCAGTAGGCTGGAAAAAATTAATGCCCTGCCATTTAAAAAATGCTAGTGGATTTTTTTTTTTTAATGCCACTGCACAAACATACCTAGCAAATGGTTGCCAAGTCCTGCCCTAAAGTCAAAGCCCTCCCGCTCAGAAATCAAAATCTTCCACTGAAAATACAAACACAGCGCCGTGGAGCCAATGTCAAGTCAAGGCTAATGCAAAGTAAACTTGGAATTCACGTGTCACCTGTCCACTAACTGCCAAGTCTTAGCTCAGAACCAGTCTCTGTCAGAGGGAAGTTTTTATGTCTGTGGCCACTTAGGAGAAATGGGTTTCTTTTATGTGCCATGCTGGTGGCATGTGACTCTATTTCTTATATATACAGTGCAGTCTTTGTAGAAAAATATAAAAACCACACGTGCTGTCTGCAGAAAACAATTTTTTAGTGATGCTTCTAAGGCTAGACCAGAGTTTTACAACATGTCCATGCATGGAACTCTGATGCAGCAAGAGCAGAGACATGTCAAACCATGGTTCAGTCCTTGTTTCTTGCCCTTCCCAGAGGTTGAGTTTGTAAAAGCCCTTTTCTGGAATATCTGCTCTTTCCTGTGTACCCACTCACCTTTGCTTTCTGGCACACTGGAGCGGTTGAGCCCAGGCTCTGTCCTACCTTCCCACACCCAAACCAAATGCACAGGAGGGAAGTATGGGCTGGGTGATACCTGCTGTCCCATTCTCACTCATACCTGCGATGCAGATGAGCACTGAGGAAGCTACTGTGTCACCTTCTCGGCCTTGTGCAAAAGCCATGAACCCACTTTGGTTACTGTAGTAGTGTGTTCACACCAAAAAACTCAAGAATAGCTAGAATGACCCTCTCCAACAGTACTTTTTCATGACTGCCTTTGGATAGCTTTGCCTTTAATGTGACTTGCCCTCTCCATTTCTTGCTATTTCATATCTACCTGTTTGTTAAACAGAGATTAGCTCTTACAAATATGGCTCTTAGCTGCTCACAACAGGTTTCACCACTTAGGTTTTGTGCCTTCATTTATAGAGACTTTTGTCTTTCAGTGAAGGACTGGAGTATTCTCTATTATTTTATACACAGGAACAGATAAAAGATGTGTGTTGTATACATTTTTTGGTGATTATGGTAATTTTTCATAAAGTCTCTTGTATCTCAGTATTCACCATATGGTTACTAGTCAGAATAAAACCAAAGGTTCCTGTTCCTGCTTTGACCATTAACTATTTAGCTGTGATCCCTCAGTGAGCACACAGAAGTCACCTCAGGAAACAGCACTGGTGCTTACCATGTATGATCCCTGGATGACTCCTGTCTGGCAGTGAGCTACACCAGTACCGATCAGCTCCTGTACTTTTCCACAGCAAGGTACATAGTGATCATCTTCTCCATCTTCACTGGATGTCTTTTGTATCTGCGGGTGCAAAGTTTGTCCAAAAAGGGCAAAAAAAAAAAAAAAGTTTTGTGGGAACTTTTGTGTGCAAGACCTCTCAGCATCAAAATTCACATGCTACATGGGAGAAAAATAAATTACCTTAGTGAGAGGAAAATGAAAAATGAAGGTATACATGATGAGGGTATATAACATGTTGTTGATGGTATTTTTTCCCCTATCCCAGAAAAAGAGAGAACCTGCTATCCAGATCATTAAACAATTACACAAGACATATCCTGAGAGAAGTCTAGGAGATTAGAAGAGACAAACAAACAAAAGCTTTTACAAAAATCTGGGAAATGGTATAGAGAGAAAGCTGCATTTGTGTCTAGATGTACAGATTGGTAAATAGTGAAGTCCACGCTGAATTCCCTTATGAAAGGGTGAAGCCCAAGGCGAATAGGGTAGAGTAAGAAAATACCTGATTAACACCTTATACTTCTGATCTGTGGAAGTAGTGCTCAGCAGCACTTTTAAGTGGACAGATACAAAAGGGAAGAAAATAAACTTTTGTCAGGAATTGTAATGGAAAAAGTTGTGTCATGATGTTGCGATATCTTAAGGCGTTGAGTGAAGTTCCCAAAGCCCAAGACTTTATAAAAGACTAATTCCCAATGCTATTGGCCAAATCTTTTATGCGTTCATAGATGATGAGAATGTTTAGCTTATATTAATCAGAACATAGAAAAGGATCCAAAACTTCATGATTTAGGGACAGCCACTTGCTGATAGGTTTAACTTGCCGATAGTTAAACCTAACTATCTAGGTTTAAGATAGTTAAAGATAAGTTAAGAGAGTTGTCTACTGTGATCAAGTAAATCCTTAAGGGCTGGGTGTCTTTTACTATCTCCTGGAGCTAATCTGACACACTAGACTGGGTCTGATGAGAAATCAAGATCCATTTGAGTGGTGAGGGCAAGATGAGACAGAATTGCAAGTCCTACACAGCACTTGGCAGTCTGATGCTTCAGCAAATGCCAAGTATTACAACCTTGAACCCCATGTGAACATCAATGGGCCGAGCCTGCAGAGAGCAAATCAGCAACTGACCAAAGCTCCACGGCCCACCTGTAACGTAAATTGAACATCAGTAGGCAGCAACAGGAGAGAGCAAATCAGCAACCGAGCCAGACCTCCACCACCACTCACACTCTTTGATAAAAGCTGGCTACCAGGCTGTGCTCGTCCCTACTCACAAGAACCAGATCTGTTGTGCCAATGGCTCAAGACAGAGTGCAGTGCTGTCACTCAGAGAAAGACTTTATCTTGTCCCCTCACAGTAAGAAGGTTCCTAAAAGGATGGCGTCGCTCTTGGAGATGAAAGAAATCTTCCGCAATGCTGATGCAGTGTGCTTTGATGTGGACAGTACAGTCATCAGGGAAGAAGGCATTGATGAGCTTGCGAAGTTCTGTGGAGTCGGAGATGCAGTTGCAGAGATGTACGTATATTTGCTGTTTACTTCATAGGAATAGCAGCAAAAAATAATCGTGGATAAGGTTTATCTGTGACAATGAATTTACAATAGGGATTAGTTCAAATCTGTCATAGGAGATTATTACAGTTTAAAAAAGATTTTAGGACTAATAAGTGGTATTAATGCATGACGAAGTAACTTCTTTTGGAATTGTGAAGCCACTCAGTGAAACTATAATGACATAAATTCTCTAATGTAGATGTCTTTGATAGACTGAGATCAGCCTTCATTGTTAAACTTGGCTAAGCACTAGCAAACCTCACTATGAGATGGAGGAGAGGGGACAAGTCTCTTAACACTCCTCTGAGGCTAATGTTGTTTCCATTGAAGCTTGTAGAAAAAGTTCTGTTCCTTTCAGAGAACAGCACCTGGGCTGCAGCTTAGGAATACTAGTCCTAGTGCTCAGAGGCACGCAGAGAGGGAATGAAGCAGTTTTCCTTTGCTTCACTGGCTCACACAAGAGCTCTGATCTGTGGCGATCTTATACCAGTGGTCGCTACCAATCTTTGCAGTGTCCCAGTCTTCTCCTTTACAACACAGATAGGCTATAACCTAGAACCTATGGACTCTTACCTTGTTCCTTGTCATTTTTCAACTAACTGTTCTTGGGAGAAGCCTCCACTTGGTAAGGTGTCACTGATTTGTTCTCTTTGGATCACAATTTAGGACCCGCAGAGCTATGGGTGGCACTGTGACATTCAAAGCAGCTTTAACGGCACGACTAGGTCTCATACGTCCCTCCTATGAGCAAGTGCAAAAACTAATATCTGACAACCCACCGCAGCTAACACCAGGAATAAGGTAAGAATTTCAAATGATCTAACAAAAAAGTCTTCTGCACATGGCATAAATCAACAAAATTCTGTCACATTAGTGAGGCTGGAAGACCATAGAGCTGGTTTAGATGGCCTTCCTACTCCATTTCCATGTTGTTTGTGTACAAAGCTTGTATCAGGAGCATATAATGGCCTGAGTCCATGTCAAGTGGCTAAGCATCCATGTAAAAAGAAAACAGTCTTAGGTTTTTACTGGCATTTTGGCTGGCAAGCTCAAATTCTGGCTTGAGGATTAAATGGGCATGGAAAATAATCAGTTCATCACTTCTGGTTTTTGACAGGTGATGGAACTGGGAGGAGATTTAATACCCAGTATAAACTACTGGCTTTGTCTATTCTGCAATTATATTACCTCTCTCTTAGACTTCTGTGTATAGTCACACCCCTGGACACAGCTTAGGGGATCCATTGTTCAGAGCTACCCATTCTGTACTGAAGTCCCTAAAACAGTATTAAAAAAACATTAAGGGGAAATACATATAGATATGTGTATTCGTTCATCTTTGGTTTTAGAATAAACATTAACTATTTTAATGGAAAATAGGTAATTTTTTTTCCTATGCAAATTGTTTCAATCCAGCCATCGCTCCCAGTCTAAAATATTTGTAGCACATACAGTAGTTTTAGACGATACTGTGCTTGTATTTTCTCCTTGAAATGAAGCACATGCTCAGCTTTTTCTGTAGAAGCCATAGCTCAATATAACTACAAAGAGAACATTGCTTCCTTGTTTAGAATCACATGATTGTCCTTTTCATTCCTTCCTTTCCTCCTTTTCTGTGTAGCCTGCTTTAAGCCTCCACTTTGCTTTTTAGAATTTAGCATTTCTGCTGTTCCCACTACCACTTCTGCTTAGCATTGCTGCATGCTGATCTTCCTGCCTGTAGAGCCAAATCCTGTAAAACTTAACTGCCTTCAAGCCCTGTTGACATTAACTGGGTCTGAGGGCTTTCCTTTTCTGTAGCTGGTGCCCTTCTGTAGCTGGTGCCCTCTTCTAACCATGGTATCAACGTCTCGCACCTGGGGAACCAACTGTGAGTTAGAAAATGTTTGCACTTTGCACACTTTTCAGCCCACTTTTGTGTTTTGGTGCAGTGACTTTATCTTCCCCACATTCCCTATTTTTTTTCTGCATTATAAATTCGTTTTTACTTCAGAAAAAAATCTGAACTGGATCTGCTGTCATTTGTTCAAGGGAACTAATGTGAACTATATGCAAGTGTAAAGAAAACATTCCTAGGGCATGCTTGTTTCTGAGCAACTAAATAGGTTTGTCACTGGACGTGATGGTTTTGTTCAGCTCTTTTCAAGCAAGGTGTATGCACAAACTTGCAAGGGAAAGAAGGAAAAGCTTGGGGCAGCAGAGATGGATGGAGCTGGAAAGCAGTACACATCCTAACTAAGCTGGAATAACATAAAAGTATGGGCAACCTTGTTAAGGCAAGATGTGTTTTAGCTTTCTTGTTATCCCTAGATGCTGCCAGGCACTCACGCTTGGTGACTGCTCTTTCTCCTCAGGGAGCTGGTAAGCAGCCTTCATCAACGAGGGGTCCAGGTCTTCTTGGTCTCTGGGGGGTTTCAGAGCATCGTGGAGCACGTGGCCTTGCAGTTGAACATTCCAACAGCAAACGTCTTTGCCAACAGGCTGAAGTTTTACTTTAATGGTGAGATTCCCTTAAGGTGTCTTTTCTCTGCTAATTAATGCCACTTTTTCGGTTCAAACTGTCAGACATTGGGCTACAGATACTGTCCAGCCTACGTGACCTTGTAACCAATCCAGCCAGCTCCAAGTAGGAAAATTGCAAGACCTTACAAAAAACATGAGTTCGGGTCATTTTCCAGACATATGAAATAAAGCTGTAGTTACTTTTTAATTGCAAGCTGTGCCAAAGGTAAAACATGTTACAGTTGCTGACAGCAGAGTTTCATTTTCTCTTCCTCCTTCAAGTTAAAAGAGTTTATTACACTTACCTGCTTTTAGAGGCAAACTTCACTTTCAGTGACTTTGAGGTATGTATGGAGGCCGATGTATTTTAGCAGAGCTGCTCCGTGCTTTAAGCTAGTGTAATCAAGCAGAACTGTAGTTAGTGAGGTTGTTTCTTACCCAGTGTTTCATACACTGTCCATAATCATACTGGATGCTGCTTCTGAAATGTTTACACCGGAGTGACTGGGAATGGATTTTTAACACTACCCATACTGGGTTTCTACTTTCGTCTTAGCATTTTAGCTCTTTGAAAACATCCCCACTGAAGACTTGGGTAAAATCCTAGTTTTTGCGCTTACCTTCTAATTACTTTTTTGGGATGCTGATATCATGAGGCTTATAAGGACTGCACATAATTAGCTGTTTTCTGAAGTAAAGACCATAGGCATGTATCTTTCTTCATTTACAAGAAAATATGCTATGTGTCTAACTTGTCCTTCCACTGTCTTCTAGGAGAATACGCAGGATTTGATGAAACACAACCAACAGCTGAATCAGGGGGGAAAGGAAAGGTTATTACTCATCTGAAGGAACAGTTCCACTTTAAGAAAGTAGTTATGATTGGAGATGGAGCTACAGACATGGAAGCCTGTCCCCCTGCCGTAAGTATTAAAGAACTGGAATTCTAAATGTGTTTTGAGCAAATCCTTTGTTGGGGGGGAAGTGCGGTTTGAATTCCTTATAGGACTTCAGGGAAGATCTTTAGCACTTCCCGCAGCCTAAGAGAGATCTGTGTAGGTAGTTTTCCTCTAGAAAGCCTGCATCATGCAATGGTTGATTTCTCTCAGTTCAGACAACCTCAGTAAGGCTGTCACCCTCTAAGCCAGGATGCCAGCTGGGTCTAGCAGGACTGCGTAACAGTCTAGTGACCTGTCTCAAATCAAGCTGGTATCACCACGTCTGCCTTTCCCCTCTATGTCCCCACGGTAACTGCTTGTTTCTGTGCAGAGGCCTTACCCCACCAAGATCCTGGTTCTGAACACTGATCAATGGTGCTTAGCATGAAGGTTTGGCACAGATCTGGTGCACATTTACCTGATACTGGCCTAGCAAGAGGATTCCTCTCACTGTACAGTGACGATACCTTTGAAGATATCAGCCCTGACAGGGTGAAATAATTTAAAAATGAATAGAAACACAACTACTATAAATGGTCATTTCACATGGGAGAGATCTTAATTCCGTCTCCCCTTTAGCGCCTTTCTCTACACAGAAGTACCCCAATACCCCTTCTTCACCAATGCTGAGACACAGATATCCCAGTGCATGGAAATGCACAGGAACAAAACTCCGAGAGCTACTGCTGATGTGAGTTATGACAGCTGGTCCCTTGCTGTTAAATATGTGCATGACCAAAACAGCTTAGTATTTGCTTAATGCTTTCTACCTACAGGCAAAAACGCAGCAGTGGAAATTTTAAACACTGCACTTTCACTGCAGATGGTTTTCCAAGATGTAGAAATGATGATTGTTCCTGGTTAATGATTGAAGACATGGTTAATGTGTACTTTTGGTATCTATCAAATGAGGTAAACAGAGTTAAGATAAACAGTATAGGGGTAATTGTGAGATGCTGCATGCACGTTCGAATGTTAACTCATTCTTGAATAGTGAGGCCTTATGTTGCATCACTTTTACATAAGATTTTCAATGAAGTCACAGATCTGAACAATCTTGAAGTTATGAGGCACTGAGACACAACGTTCCTAGTGGAACAAAACTCTAATAACCAAAGGGGTGCAAAATTAAGTGTTAATGAAGTTCTGGTTAATAAATTTGAAAAATGAACATACAAAGTAAAATAGGGGAAGGGGCAGGGAGGAATACTGTAATTTTAAAAGACAATCTTAAAAACATACTTAATTGCTGAGAAGCTCCATTCCTTACATGGGACTGCAATAATATATGTGCCCATTCTTTCTGTTTTGCCAGGACTGCTTCATTGGATTTGGAGGAAATGTAATCAGAAAGCAAGTAAAGGAGAAAGCGAAATGGTACATTACTCACTTTGACGAACTGCTAAAGGAACTGGAAGAACGATAAATTATACAGTAAAATAATATATTTAACAACTATAAATCCATTATACAATGCAATTAAACATTTATTTGTTTGCAAAATTGTGTTCTGGATTTTTTAATGATTCTGGGTGTTGGGTACCTTCAATCTCTGGCCTGCAACTCATGTTGCAAATGGCACCATCCTACTCAAATATTTTGCAATGCAAATGATAAAATTTTTTTAAACATCTTTTCCAAGGTGGAAGAAGTCAGTTGATTTTTCACTCACAAGTGAAATTATGAGTAAGTTCAAAATACCTTAATGGTTTTGCCCCTGGTCAATATTGCACATCTATTATTTCAGAATCATTGAAGCTAATACCTCTACTTATTTTGGGTGGCAAAAGAAGAAGGGGGCCACAAACAATTGTCGAATCAATACTACTAATAAATAACAATATAGTCTAAAAGGTAAACAGTATGATAAGTACTTTCCATTCCAAAGAATCTCACAACTAGGTTAAACAGTAAACAGATAGGTAGGAAACATTACTAAGTATCTCTGAGTTCATTAGGATATGGCTACAGGAGCACCTGAGATGTCATCTGTTACTCAACATTACTGTTGCTCAACCAGTAGCCTGAAAGACACAGGATGCATGCAAATCTGAGATATATGCAATATTCACCAGTGTCCAAGAAGCATGTTTTAAGGCAAGTAATATAGTGGTTCCCATACTTCATTAAAATACTTGAAACTAAACTCCAAAATGGTGATTTTGTGAAATGGTCACACTGTTTAGCTGATTTATTTATTTAACAATCCACCTCATCAGCCTATAACTGGATGGAAGCTAATTCATGAACTTTTAAAAAAAATAGTCTACTGATTAAGAAAATACTGTGAATCTAGTTTCTTCCTCTGCCTCAGTGTGGACTAACCACCTTTAAACCTTTTGTGCTAGAAACAGTCTACCCTGTTGTAAGTAAGTACTTCTCTGAGCTTCAGCTAACAAACCCTAGTTTCTTATGGATTTGTCTTTTGTGGTTGCAGTGTCTGATCCAAGAGGGCCCTTATACAGAACACACTTGATAAATGCTGCCTTTTTGTCTGACAACTCTTCTGAGCTTGTCTTTTTAACCAGCTTTGCTGACACATCATGGTACTTTTATTTCCCTGACTTACAAGAATCTCACCTCTGATGATGTGAAAAACTTCACTAATGTTAAATATATGTCACATCTTCCCCTTTCCTTCCATCCACATAATACCACCACAGGAGAAAGAGGGCTAGATATGACATGATTTGTCCTGGAAAAAAAAATAAATCTGTGCAGGCTCTTATCTCCTGGGTGCTTACAAATAGTCCCAGTATTTTTCTGGAAACTGAAGATTAGGCTGAGGGGGCTAATTCTCTATCTATAGATAGGAAGAGAAACAAGTGCTGAGCCTACCTTCCAAAATCTCACACTCTTT